CAAAGAGCTGAGTGACGCTGGCGAGAGAACGTGCGAGGGCGCGGCGGGGGGCGGTCGGTGTGGGGGGGGGGGCGAGTAATAAAACAATAAGTATTTCGAATTGAATTTCACAAAAAAAAAATTAATTGAGCATCTGAACCTTATATAGAAGTGTTTATCATGAGGCAATAAAACTTACCGAAGACGATGATAAACAATAGCCATCGTTATTCTAATCCCGGGAATCTTCTCCATAATCATCGGATTCGGGTTCATAATCCGGATCTTGAATTTGATTATTATTATCATCGTCGGATTCTTCCTCATCTTCGGACTCTTCCTCATCATCGTCATCATTATTGATGTTATTACCGTCAACATCATCATCAGCCCCCGATACATCATCATCGCTATCATCAGCACCGCTACTATAACCTGAATCCTCATCATCAATATCAAAATTACCACCATCATCCTCGCTGTCTTCATTAGACTCATCCATCTCATCTATAAAAGTTGATGGTGAGCGACAAAAAAATAAAATAGTAGAATTACTTACCCACAACCATGTCATTACCCCAAACATCATCACCGTTGTTACCATCACCATTGTTATCATCACCATTGTGATCATCACCGTTGTTACCATCATCGTTGTTACCATCATCGTTATCATCGTCATCGTCATTTTCGTCATCGGCATTGTCTTCATCGGTAGTCTCATCATCGCTATCATCATCACCGTTATTGTCATTTTCCACATCCTGATCACCTAAAACTTCATTAACCATAACAACATTATCTAAACAAGAACGATGTGTTCATTTAAATATCATGAGAAAAGTAGAACTACTCACCCTCCTCGGAAACCACCATGTCCATGTCCGATGTTGATACCATATCCACAACCATACTGCCATTGTTAGAATCTAAAAACATTGAAATAGTCACTTTTGAGAGAAATACAATTGACGAATTTCTTACCTGAAACTGCAGGTGCACCTGCTCCACTACCTGATGTATCATTACCCATACCCGAACCAGTAGCAACACCATCAACAGAAACACTACCAGCAGGAGCACCAGCTACAGGAACACCTAAAAAGCAAATTTTCAGTTACGAAATAAAACGCATAAATGAATAACTTACCATTGACGGAAAGCACTACTACCGAATTGGATGACGATGATGAATCAAGACGTGGACGTCGATGAGGAGGACGTCCTATGAAAAGAAGGTTCAAATTAATGAAATCAGAAGACCATTAAAATACTCACTAGGAGACTGAGATTGGAACGAACCAAGGAAAACAACACTATCTTCATCCGAAGATGGAGATGGACTTCGTGCACGTTTTGCAGCCATAATATAATTTTTTTTTATTTGAGAGTTATAAAAGGTAGATCTGAAAAAAAACAGAGTAAAAGGTTGAAAAACAGTTTACACAAATTTTAAGGTGTGGATACATGTTCAAAATTAGATGAAAAAAACAAGACTCGAATGCATTTAGTGAACTATGGACTGTAGATGTTTTATATAGTGATAAGTTGGTATTCGTGTGGCTCAAATGAAAACATCCATATGAGATTCCCTCTCTACCCTACTCTTTAAAACTAACACAATAGAAGACGAAGTTACTAGAACATCTGCAATACAGTCTGAGTCAGAGGGCATCGAATAGAGTCTGGATATATTATATCTCATGTAGAAAATAAAAAACGGCTCGACTTAGCTCATACAAATCTAGTCCATATCAAAACCTGATGCACGATAGTCGTTTGTATGAGAAAGCAGAAAGCTAGGCTGTTAGGGAATGGTACTATTCTATTTTCAGTGCAAGGGTTCATAGTACTATTTAGGAACACCACATATGATATCCTCTATGAATTTCTTCCCACATTCAATGAACTTCCAGTACAGGAAATATAGAAGATACAGAAGTTGAGAGATACAGGAGATATAGAAGTTAGGAGATATTGGAGATATTGGAGGTATAGAAAAAATTGGAGATAGTAATTCAGTGGTGCATATAGACTTTATATAGCACTTAGCTTTGGATAATGATCTATTCAGATACATTCATACAACTTAACAACCCTTGCTCAAAAAAATTAATCAGATTAAGTAACTGTTTAATATGTCTCCTACAACTCTGTGTTATCTACATCTCCTATATCTACTATATTTCCAATACCACCTATATATCCCATACCTTCTTCCTCAACGTTTAATTGAGTTTCAGAGGAAACTCTCCGAAGACATCTAATCGAAAATCCTTATCATACAAAATCCTTGACCAGTGTTTGATTATCTCACTATATGAGGTTAGGTTCTGTGTTCCGGGAGAACAATGAACACAATGGAAACGTACAATGTGCACATTTGATGGGCATGTATTTTGAAAAACAATTCGTGTACTTGACATCAAAGCTATGTTCGAAAAAAAAACGGCGAAAACATTCATATTACTTTCAAAAAAAAGTAGTTGTGTAGCCCTTTTTATTTGATGCAAGGAATTCAAAAACACAAAAAAACGTATTTGAAATTTATTTCGAGAAATTTTTAAAATCTTTTCAAGTCATATTCTGGAAAACAATCCGTTCAATTCTAGGATATGAACGATTCAAAAAGAAATTAGTTGATGTCTATACCGTGACCGTTCCTCTTATCTTTTATATACCTCAGATCCTCAATCCAGGGTATAACGTTTGTTCCCATGTGGTTATCCGTTCTACACTAGTCTAGAATCTTCCTTCAATTTTAACGAATACTTTTCATTCGTTCTACTAGATCCATTTCGTAAATAGTTAGATTCCAACGAACATAATTGTGTACAAACGGTTTGTCATCAATATAATTTGAATGTGATTACTTAGCTATAAGTTTCTTTGATAGAAAAACTTCATTCATCGAACAAGGGTCCATTACTTTGTGATGGAATAACATCTCTTACATGTAAGCCACACTCCAACAAGATCTGTTTCACAATAAATACGAAACCAAAAAAAACCGTCTTCTATAAAACTTGATAAATCATTGATAGTGTATTAATATAAATATTTCAATCTTTTTTCTTTTTATTTGTGATAAATTTAAATACTCCAAGAGATACAAAAAAAAGTGATACAATGCAAAAAAAAATATTTAAAACGGTCTGTAAACGAGCTGCGTTAATGCGTTCTCCCTATGGTCAACCATTATGAGCAACATCACATCAATCCAATTGAAAAGAAGAAGTCGCCATCTAGAAGGAACAATGCAATAAATGTCGCCAAAAAAATTGATTCAATCATACAATCGAAATAATATGGATAATCTAAATTTATCAACACAATATTTTAGTGAATTTCTCCACTTCGTTCAAAAAATTTGATTTCATACGACACTGTAATAGATAAGATTATTTGATTCTTAATTGTAATCGATTAAGATGTCTTAAGCAACTTGAGAAGTCCCTTAAGCAAGGACGAAACCGGTCGTGGTATGCTTTCTAAATTAAACGCCATGGAGATAAAAACTATCAGAGAATGTTGTACACATCATAAATAAAATAAATAAATTATATTCAAGTCGATATCATGAAGTCCCTAGAAATCTAAGGGGTTTTAAGCGAAAATACCCAACTCGATAACGTTAACGATATCGATATAAAAACTATCAGGGAATGTTGTACACATTATAACTAACATAAATAAATTATATTCAAGTCGATATAATGAAGTCCCTAGAAATCTAAGGGGTTTTAAGCAAAAATACCCAACTCGACAAAGTTAATTATATTCCGATAAAAAATATCAGAAACAATCATATACATCATAACTAACATCTATAATTTGATAGCAATTGAAAAAGTGAATGTTTGTAGAGACATTACGGGCTTTTATAGAAATGCCCGTTTATTTTGCTTTCCGATTTGGAGGGTTTATATCTGACAATATATTAATGATAATAAGTATATTAATTATATGACGTTCATGTTAGAGTAAATGAAGGTTTAGAACTGATCATTTTTTCTCTAATTAAAATAATTTTTTTTAACCTTTTTTCGAGAGGTTAACTACTGTTCCAAGTTAACTTCTGCGTAATTTTCTCTTTGTGAAATTATAATAAATGTTTGTATCATACGTAAATTATTAATACCCCATATTTAATTAGAGAAAAGTGTTCAAAACGAAGCTTTTCTTATACATTTTTTCAAGTTCAAATGATATATAATATCAACTATAACACTGGACTTTACATATTCTATTCACCTTTTCTCAATAACATTTTTTTTATGTATGTAATCCTGGTTATCATAAATTTAAATTTATGACATAACAGATAAACGGTCACAGCTCATGTTTTTCTCGTAAGTGGATAAACCTGGATATGATAAATTTGAATTTCAGACATAAGAGATAAACGTTGAATGTTCTTTTCAAATATATATTCAACCCTGGATATGATGAATAACTATTGTAGACATACCATATAGACGAACAAAGCTTATTATTGGTATGTATATAACCCTGGATATGATTTTTATTGCACTTCAAGAAAAAAAAGAATATTTTAAATTAATTATTTTTTAACATTTTACACTCGATATGATCACTAAAAATTCCAGACACATCATATAGCCGGTTAAAGGTCATTTTTGTCATGCATATAACCCTGGATATCATTTATTGAAATTCTAGAAAAAAAAAAGTACATTTTCAATTAAATATTTTGAAATATTTTACACTGGATATGATCACTAAAAATTCCAGACATATCATATGGACGGTCAAAGGTCATTTTTGTCGTGCATATAACCCTGGATATCATTTATTGAAATTCTAGAAAAAAAAAGTAGATTTTCAATTAAACATTTTTAAATATTTTACACTTGATATGATGACTAAAAATTCCAGACATATCATATAGACGGTCAAAGGTCATTTTTATAGTGCATATAACCCTGGATATCATTTATTGAAATTCTAGAAAAAAAAATATTTAAAATTAATTATTTTACGCTGGATATGATCACTAAAACCTCCAGACATATCATATGGACGGTCAAAGGTCATTTTTGTCATGCATATAACCCTGGATATCATTTATTGAAATTCTAGAAAAAAAAAAGTAGATTTTCAATTAAATATTTTTAAATATTTTACATTGGATATGATGACTAAAAATTCCAGACATATCATATAGACGGTCAAAGTACATTTTTGTCATGCATATAACCCTGGATATCATTTATTGAAATTCTAGAAGAAAAAAGAATATTTAAACTTAAATATTTTAAAATATTTTACGCTGGATATGATCACTAAAAATTCCAGACATATCATATGGACGGTCAAAGGTCATTTTTGTCATGCATATAACCCTGGATATCATTTATTGAAATTCTAGAAAAAAAAAAGAATGTTTAAAATTCATTATTTGTAAACATTTTGCACTGGATATGATCACTAAAAATTACAGACATATCATATAGACGGTCAAAGGTTATTATTGTTATGTATATAACCCTGGATATCATTTTCTGAAATTCTAGAAAAAAATTAATAGCCCCTTGTTGCACATTGGTATGATGTGATATTGTATGGACGTCCTTTTGAATGCATCTATAGTTCAAGTATGACGTGGTCAAGCCTGTCTTTTGGTGTGATTTTTTTCTGGTGTGGTGTGTCCTCTCGTTCTATATGTCTCTCCCAGTCTATGCCGTGGTTAGTTTCACTCTCTTGTTCTCTCTATCTCTATGCTGTCTTCTGTCCTATGTGACAAATCACTCTCTCCCTTCGACTATAAATAGAGCGAATTTTCATATAATTAATTCATTCGAAGATATTCACAACAGCGATTACATCGTTTATTCTAATATTCTTATCAGTCCGACGAACAACGGCATTCACTTTAATCGTCTCCTAGCAGGTCGAGTAATAAATTTATTTTCTATATCTTTCAGATTCACTTAATTGTTTTCTTATAGAAATCATCATACCAACGTCCTTTAATTAATCTTCAACTACGAGAACAACTAGAGGTACGATCTTTTTTTCTTTACATAAATACATGTGTGTAACTTTTTCGAATACATCCGTTATATGCAAAATATTTTTTTTCTTTTATTTTATACTGGCTTTTTTCACATATGAATATTCGAAATAATTTTTTTTCATTATTCAACGCTGGATATAATGAAAAAAATTCCAGGCATAACATCTACACGGTCGAAGGTTATTATTGTTATATATTTAACCCTGGATATGATTCATTTAAATTTTAGAAAAAAAAAGATTATTCAAAATTATTGTTGTCGTCATGTTTAACACTGAATATGATGAAGATAAATTCTAGACATAACATATAGACGGTCAAAGGTTATTATTGTTATATATTTAACCCTGGATATGATTTATTTAAATTTTAGAAGGAAAAAGATTATTCAAAATTATTGTTTTTTCGATATTTAACACTGGATAGTATGAGGAAAAATCCCAGACATAACATCTGCATGGTGAAAGGTTATTATTGTTATATATTTGACCCTGGATATGATTTATTTATATTTTAGGAAAAAAAAAGATTATTCAAAACTATTGTTTTTTCAGTATTTAACAATGGATATGATGAAGATAAATTCCAGACTTAACATCTAGTCGGTCAAAGGTTATTTTTATTATATATTGAACCCTGGATATGATTTATTTATATTTTAGGAAAAAAAAAAGATTATTCAAAATTATTGTTTTCTCAATATTTAACACTGGACATGATGAAGGTAAATTCCAGACTTAACATCTAGTCGGTCAAAGGTTATTTTAATTATATATTTAACCCTGGATATGATTTATTTATATTTTAGAAAAAAAAAAGATTATTCAAAATTATTGTTTTTTCACTATTTAACGATGGATATGATGAAGATAAATTCTAAACATAACACCTAGACGGTCAAAGGTTATTATTATTATATATTTAACCCTGGATATGATTTATTTAAATTCTAGAAAAAAAAAATTTATAGCCCTTTGTTGCACACTGGTATGATGTGATATTGTATGGACGTCCTTTTGAAGGCATCTATAGTTCAAGTATGACGTGGTCAAGCCTGTCGTGTGAGTTGATATTTTATGGCGTTGTATGTCCTCCTTCTCTATATTTTTCTTTCACGCTATGCCATGGTATGTCTCTTCGTCTCTTTTTCTCTCTCTCTATGCTGTCGTCTGTCCTACGAGACAAATCACTGTCTCTCTCCTCGACTATAAATAGAGCGAATTTTCATAGAATGTATTCATTCGAAGAAATTCACAACATCGATTACATCGACTATTCCACTGTACTTATCACTCGGACGAACAACTGCATTCACTGTTATGATCCACTATCAGGTCTGTTAATATATTTATTTTCTATCTGTTTTCGGTTCATTAATTATTTTCTTATAGATACTATCATACCAACAACATTAAATTAATCGGCATCTACGAAAACAACTGAAGGTCTGATCTTTTTTTTATAGTAATACAAGTATATATTTTGTCACTATACATGTGTTATATATGAGTTTTTTTGTTATTTTATAGTGCCTTTATTCTCATATGAATTTATTGATACGACATGGTGAACAAGTATGCAAATGTGCTGAACATTTATTGGTACAAGCTCCATACCAGTGATGAAAAAAAAATTTAAGCCCTGGTTATCCACTGGTATGACTTGTTGAAGTACAGAAAATTTTATATATTTTTTTATACTGTACAATGTGTCATAAATATATAACGAAATATTTCGCTTATGCTTCGCTATTAAAAATCAGTTACAGAGGAACTTCTTTATGAAAAAAGTTTGTTTCCATATTTGATTTTGGTTACTCTGAAACTCATATTTATTTTCGACGCCTTTATGTTTTTTTTTTTAATTTCAGATTTATCATATAAACGACTTCTAAGAGGTATGCTCAAGTTCACATTAGAAAATGAAAACACGATATTTTTTCGCTTTCACATTTATTTTAGTGCGACATAAGTTGTTCGAATCTACAAAAGTAATATGAAAAAAAATGAATACTTGATATTTGTGAACCTTTCTTGGTCACTTTTTTTGTTAGTTTATATTTTTTTTTATCCACCTTTTTTTCTCATTTGGCATGTCTATGTATTTTACTATTTCATATATACTCGCTATATGCATACATAAAATTTTTTGTGCATCGGTGGAAGTATAAGAAATTAATAATCACATATGTGATTTTTTTTCATTTTCTTTTGAAAATTTTTCTGTAACACTAATGAACATTGTTTTTCTATAGGATACTGCATTCAAAACTACCGAACAACATAAGGCAAATGAACAGTCAAAAAATAAGAAATATTAGTAATTCAACAGCTAATGCAGAAGAAGTAAGTGATTAAAAAAAAACGTATATAAATCAAACGATTGTCTATTCAAGCATCATATTACAAATGGGCTGAATACCAATCCAAGTGGCACGTACCCGTACAATATGCACAACATCGAATGGAATGACGGAATTGCTTCACATAATATGGATACGACACCAAAAAAAGTCACTGTCGTGAGTGTTCTACAAATTTAAGCGGAATTCGTTTTTTTTTTGTTCACTTATTTTAGCCAGTAGACGCAAAGATTTTATCACAGAAATTCACTCAATTATCAATATCAACAAACAATGAAGAGCCAGCAACATACGAAGAGATTACAGATGCAATTGAAAAAATTCCTGAATTTTTAGCAAAACGGAATAAATCTTTCAAGCAAATGATTCATGAACTCATGTCAATAGCAACAATGGAAATATCAATTAAAACAAAAGAAGAACTTCGACAAATAGCCATTTTAATATATAAAATAATGCTCATTCAAACGAATTATTCTCTATGGACCACCTATTTAAAATCAGGTACGGGACAACTTATTGTTCCATCATCGGAAAAGTTGAACTTTCCAACAAATTTACCTATCTGGCCAAAAGCGATTAAAATATTAATACAACACTCAACAAAAATCAATCAAAAAAATGAAAATCAGATTTGTATGGATTTAGTCAATGGTAAATTATATGAACTAGATGAACAATTAAAACAATATGAGGCTCAATTGAATAAGATTAGAAATGGTTTTTATGGTTATACTTTACAACATCAACATTTAATTGAAAGATATATTGAACAAAACATGTCTTCTCTACGCATGGAAATTAAACATAAAATTGAACTTATTCATTATGATTATCATATACAAGCATTGAAACTACAGTATCTTATACACAATCCAAATAACTATGAAGTACGTATTCAATTGAAATAAATCAATTGTTTAATTGAATTTTTTTCTACACTTTTTTGAGAAACAACTACTGAAGCAACTTTGTCGAAGTAAATATGAACAAGAAATGTCAGAACAAGAATTAATTTTTCTTCAACAACAAATAACTTATTATAATTCACCTAGTCAATCATTTGAAAATTCACCTATAGCTCAGCCAACATTGATTAATTCTATTGAAAATCTTCATATTCGACAACAACTCTTTAATCAATACAAAGCAATCGCTGAAAATTCAAAACTTCAATTATCGACGTTGTATATAAAAGCAGCCGAAGTACAACGTGATAAATATAAACAAAAGTATCATGATGATGTCAAGCAAATGTGGTCTTATAATCATGTAGCAACTTACGATGAAAAAATGCCATTATTCTTGATTGATCTCATTAATGAACGTTGTAAAAAAATTGGTGAAAGTATACAATCAATTTATAAATTCAAAGTTCAATGCTTTCTAACAAAGTCATATTTCTAATTCTCTTAATAAACAACAGACTCTTTTCATATCCATGCACACTATCATTAGTCAATTAGTTAACGTGCATGTTATTTTTGTTTTTCCTTTTGTGTTTTAGATAAATTAAATATTAATTATTTCCATTTTTACACATGGATCTCAATCTGAATTATGTTCAAGAAGTTAATCAATTTGAAAATCAAGGACAAGGAAGAAAAAAATGCCACGGTAATCGAAAAGATCAACGTTTTCGAAAAAAATGTCGTGCAAGAGGCATGAAGCTTGACCAAATAGAAAAATTACTTCAAAGACACAAGAGAATTCAGAATGAAATTATGCATCATGACAATAAGACGATGCGAAACACTACTGATGAACATGTAGCACCAACAACAAAACTAAAAAATACTTTCAATCGTACAAATGACCCATCAGTGCAAAAAAATTCGACAACAAATCCTAATAAACGTAAACGAGATATATCATTACAATACTTAAGTTCGAATCCAACAATACCAAAATCTTCTAGTTCAATATCAATTGTACAACCTTCATTGAAAAAAATGAAGAACAAAAAGAAAATCACAATCAGTAGTCGATCGTTGAAATATTCAAACAATGGTATCAGGACTAATTATCGGTCAGTTTTTTAATTATAGTACATATACATTGTTTAAAAAATGTTTCTGATTATAGATCACCAAAATATTTGAAACGATCACCATACGTAATTATGAAAATGTTAAGTAAAACATTAAATTATACTTTTAAAGAAAACAATGAAAAACAATTTATTTGTATCCGGCTCAATCTGTTGGATCAATACTATTTTTTACGATCAGAACAAGAATTATGGAATTCCTATATAGATGTTGGTATACAGCAGCATCTTTGGCCAGTAAGTAACTTTTTTTGAAATTTTATTTCATATAGAATCATTCATCTTACAAATACAGGATCGTCTCTTTACGATGGCGAAATCAAATGATTTTGAAGTTTGTCATCAATATCTTATGAAATATTTAAGAGATCTGAAGAAGGAGATGGATCAATGTCAAATAGAACTAGTAAAACAATCTCAATCATGTCCTTTCGTAAAATTATCATTGGATCAAATTGATCAAAGTCTGAACGAATTCGTGGACTGTCAACGAAAATATTTATCTAAGAGAAATAATCGTCAATTAAGCAAATTCAAAGATAATTTTCATGAAAAAAAATTATTTGAAAACGTAACTAAATATCATTTAAGATTTCATCATGTATGTTTATTTGACTTCTTACAGAATTCATACTTTGCTTATGTAATCATTTTCATTTAGAATGAATATATGAATGAATTATTGATAATAAGACAAAAACAAGGTGAAATTTACGAGGAACTTCTTAAATTTGAAATGCGAATATTATGCAAATTTTTACCGGAAGAATTTGATCATCTACAATATTTCATTGCACCGATGACTTATACACCATTGAACGATGTACAAAAAGCAATTCAACTTAAAAATAATCATCATAAAATTATACAAGAAGCTAAACGTCGATGTCTTACTATTGCTTTAAAAGCCTATAATATTAAACTACAAGATTATGAAAATCAATATGAAAATAAATTTCTAGAATTGGAATCGCAACTTCTTATTAGTACCATGGTTGATGGTCCATCTATTTTCAATCAAATTAAAGAATATATGGCTTATAGAACAAATAAATTAATTCAAGATATTTATAAAAAGGTGTCATCTTCCCGACGAACATTACTTAAAATTCGTCAAAGTTCATCGTCATCGAGAAAAGACATCATTGGTGTCTCACCTGAACCCTATCTTGATCTGATGTCGAATCCATTCAATACACGTCAATGGAATCATCTTTCATTAGGTAAGATAGTTTCCAGAGAGAAATTTTCATTTCATTTCTTCTCATAATATCAGGTCCATCTTTTATACGATTAAATCAAAGTGCTATTCGTCCTCGAGATCAACAAGAAATTCTAATTGAAAAAGAACATAAACAAATTAATGATAAAGTTGAAGATCATCTTATATCACCACCACATCATGTACCTTTACAATCATTGGTTCTCAAAACATATTCGAAGGATCTTCTGAATTACTTTAATCGTTCTTATTTTGCTCCAATATCATATCAAGATCACGTACGAGCAATAGAACAAGCTACAACAGCCAAATCAATTCGACGCAAACTCAATAAGTCTGCACTAATACTTCGTATTACTGATAAGGGTCATAACTTTTATGTTGGCTCTATGATTGAATTCGAGAAAAAAGTACGAACATTTTTCCAAGATACAAACGCATTTGTCGAATTAACACAAAATCCATTCAATGAAATTTTAACTCAAGTTATTCAATTACTCAATCGACTCCGTGAGAAAAACTTTATTTTAGCATGGCAATATAAGAAAATGATGCCTGACCGAACAAAATGTGAATTAGCCCATTTATATTTTAATCCTAAAACACATAAAGTATTGTAGATACCTGTTAGAATGTTTCCTTTTTTATACTATTCTTTTTTTTTTCGAAATTCAGGAAGATATATCAGTTCGACCTATCGAAAATACAATCATGGCTGCAACAACAAACATATCCAATTTCTTAGATGAAATCATACGACCCATATTCAATAGTAAATGTAGTACAACAACCATTATAGATGGTGTTTCTTTAATTAAAGAACTTATCACATATGCCAAAAGAAATCTGTTGAAGCCAACAACTCTTTTTTGTACCATTGATATTCGTAATTTATATACGATGTTACCCCAAGAAGAATCATTGAACATACTGGTCGAATTTCTTCATGTACATGGTTATAAGAAAGTCAAAGGTATACCTCTTGATACCATAAGAAAATTAGCTTCTATAGTACTCAAAGAAAATGTATTTGTCTATGATAAAAAAATTTATAAACAAGTTCTTGGTGGTGCTATGGGTTCATCATTTACATTAACATTAGCCAATATATTTATGTGGAAATGGCAAAAAGAATTCGTCCGTCGGCAAGATATGACAGGTGAATTTTATGGCCGGTAAGTAGCATATAAAAGTTAGGAAAACAACTTCTTCATTAAATCTTCTTCATAGATATATCGATGATATTTTCATGACATGGAATAAATCAGAAAAAGTATTGAAAACTTTATTAGATGAAGCAAATACATGGCATCCAAACATTAAGATAGAATACAAAATCAGTACAAGTCTACCATTTTTGGATGTACTACTTACGAATAATGCTGGTGTTCTATCAACATCTTTATATCATAAACCAGCAGCTGAACCTTATATTCTTCCTTATATTTCTGATCATCCACGGCATACATTCGCCAATGTTATACATACAAGTCTTGTGCGTGCTATAAGATATTCATCTACCTTTGAAATATTTAATCATGAACAATGTCATATTAAATTAACTTTATTATTGAATGGGTAAGTGTCTTCATATATAAATTAAATCTTAAAATAGTATATATTTTCAGATATCCGACATCATTTATTGAGAAACAATATAGAAAATTTTTCAGTGATTTTATAAAAACAACATCATTCTTACCATTTCTTAATAATGAACAACAATTTTTTATTCAACGTAACAAATTACTAGACCAACCAACCCATTTACAATCACAGGTGGCCTTAAGTGCAACAACAGCTGACGTCGATAATGACCAAGTCGACGCACCAGAACATCTACCCATAAAACTTGATGATGACAACAACAATAGAAACACAGCATATGAAAAAAAATTAATCGTACATTACACACACGAAAAACGTTTCCAATCATTAAAACGAGACATGCATCGAGTCTATGACAATGTTTTCAAAGATACACCGGTGAGTGACGTGAAATTAATAGTTGGTAACCGCAACCGTAGAAATGCCAAAAATGACTTGATTCGAAAAAGACCAAAGCATCGATTATTGAAAAATACAATCATTATAAGTAAGTCCTGCTTGGTAACTAATTACCACATTGACAAATGACCTTCATCACCATATATCTTTTGCTTCTTTAAGAACGTCGCAAAAACCGGACACATCTACATCAACAGCCTCAACACCAAGTAAAAACGGCAAATGGCTTATCAGAAAACAGAAACACCGGCAACTGATCGCGTACCAACACAAACGACAAAAACAGCACATCATAAAGACTACTCGTATTTTTTCATGTACCTATGAAAGCTAATACAATAAAGTCCTACCCGTTCATAGTCATAGTGAAACATTGCTACTTCACCCGAAAAATGTATTTCACTCCCTCTACCATACTTATGACTTCATTTCAGATTAAAAACCAACAACACTTTAACGAAACAAAAACATCCAAAACAAAAATTAAAAATTCTAGAATAAAAATTGCAATATACAACAAACATAAAAACAATTCATAAATCGACTAACCAGTCTAAAGAAGAATGAAACTGAAGTACAACAGCCATCATACAAACCAAATTCACAATAAACACAATCAACCATTATTCTCATTGGTACAACCAGTCTCTATCATCATTCAACACCCGAAGACAATCCACTCCCACACAACAGCATTCAAGCCACAACAGGTAAGAAACCGGTCATGGCAGCTCAGAGATACTGTCGTTACTCTATATTCTTCTATTACAAGTTAGTTTCGACTTCTTGTAACACTGAAGATACATCTTGTTTTGGA